TATATATACAATGAAATAAAAAATAAAAAGTAAATCATGCCATGAATGAAAAGGGTGCAGAGTGAAGAAATTAATCTTACCCCCCACACACACACACCCATTATTTTCAAAAATCAACTTCAACAAACAAACTGAAGCTTCAGTAGTCTGCATACAAAAAACATGAAATATGCTATGTTATCTTCACTAGATTCTACAAATTGTGTATGTTCCCAATACTTTTGATTTTATTTTTTTAAAACATGTTAATTGTTTTAGAGGGGTTTTTTTTATAATGGTAGCAAGGCTATTCCACAAATGTTTTCCTGGATTACAGTACAGCATGCTTTCAGACTGGTTCAAAAAGGCGGTAGAACTGTTTAAAAAATAAATAAATCAAAGACTCAACATGCAAGAGTTTTACACTATAATTTTATTTTTTTTAATGATGGAATCAGTGATGCAATATTGTGAGATGCTATGCTCAACGTATGTGTTGTGAATGACTGTCAGATGTTAATTAACTGTGGTGGCTATCTTGAACTGAGTTGACTCTAAACTATTCAGTTTTACATGTACATTCAATGCTCATGAACCAGATTGCATAAAAATCCTCAGTGGTTTTATGCCTCATATTAACCGGATTGCAAAATTAAAATAATAAAAAAAAAACATAAGTAGCTTTATGCCTCATACTAAACAGCAGGTTCTGACATTATCAGTCCATTCTATGGGATGAAGAACCCACTAGGAGCCACAGTTGGGACATTCTGAAGCCATTCCATGGGCCTGCTAACGACTAATAACGTCCGTTTAATGGATGATAACATCTGAAGTGGGTGGATTATATTAAAATCTGTCCAGCAGTTCTTCAGATATTCTGTAAACTGGCAGACAGAGTTGATGCCAAGCCACAGCTTCAGGCAAAAATGCTACATGGTTTGTAGCATAACTTTAACTTGTGCTAATTTGTAGCTTGATAACTTTTAAAAAATGATAACAGGTTTTAGTAAAAATGCCTGCATGATTGAACTATGTGGGTGAGTGATTCCATCATCTGAAGGAATGCTCGGAGTAGAGCCGCTGCTCATTTGCATCGAAGAGTCAGATGAGGTTGTTTGGGCAACTGACAAGAATTCCTCCCTTTAGAGGTTTTCTGGGCACGTCCCACTGGTGGGAGGCTCTAAGGAAGACCAGAACTTGCTGGAGGGATTTTGTATGTTCTCTGGCCTTGGAATGCCTCAGGAACACCCACAAGGAGTTTGAGAATGTTGCTGTGGAACAGGGATGACTGGGTTTCTCTCCTGGACTTRTTGCTTCCACATCCTGACTACAGATAAATGGTAGAAGATGGAGATGAAGATGCAGATGTATGTTAAGTTTATGAAAGGTGAAATAAAAAGCATTGCCTTTTTTCTGATAGAAACATAAATTAATGTTATTGGAGCTGTCAAATTTTGACCCAAATTGCATTAGCTATAATGCTGACAGCTAACCCAGAGATAAACTCCATCCTCTGACTCTAACATTTGCGGTGAGCTTTTCTGACTCTAAATCCCTCCACAGTCTTGTTGACCGCACAACTGCAATTTGGATTTAGATGCAAAGCCGTAAGGATAGAAGATTGTGTTTGTGATGTATTTGTTGTTGCTTTTTTTCTGTGTCACCACCGTCCCATTTAATCTTTAAGCAGCTCTGTGGTCTTCTGTTAAGTGATGTTTCTCTTAGTTTCTCTGTTCTCATGAAAAAAGCAACATTTTTTTTAAAAAACAAAAATAAAAAATAAAATACACATTTTGAGTCAAAACTTAAAGCATAAAAAAGGACCTGTAATTTCTTGAAGGAATGCCCACATCCTTTCAGAGTCATTGTTGTTTTTTGTCAAACCTTGAAAACAACATTTAGTAAATGGAGCTGTTGCCTCTCAGAAGGTTGTCAGATCAAATCCCAGCCAAGGACCTTTATGAGTATTGTTTGCATGTCCTCTCCGTTCATCAATGGGTTTTCTTCAGATACTTCCTCTCACAGACCAAAAAAAGGTAAATGTTAGGCTAACTTGTAACTCTGAATTATCCCCAGCCATGAGTAAGATTCTCAATGGTTGTTTGTCTTGTTAGTGTGTCCCCACCTGTCCCCACTCCTCGAACAGTGACTGCTGGACATGAGCACCAGTGACCCCCATGACTCTGAAAGGAAGAAGAGGGTAAAGATTATGAATTGAAGAAAACAAAAATTTAAGCACTTAATTATTTTGTGATCATGTCTGCTGATCACACCACATTTTATTTCAGTATTTTTAAAAACCTTGAGCAAGAGACATTTTTTGGAGTCAGTCGGCTGTGGCAGTCATCTGGATTGTTGTTTATCCAAAATGGGCATCAGTTGAAAATGCACATCCAATGATTGCTTTTTAAAAACTGGGCTACCAGAAATGTGTATCACTATACAATTATCTAATATCAGTTGATATTGATAATTATTGATTAGTTTTTTTACCTATTTGAAATAAGGACTAGGATAAAAAGGTTCATTAATACTGCCAAACTGGTGACGTTATTGTTTCATATTGATACTGATCACATGATATATATCATTATTGTTTTAGTGCCCAGCCCTRTCTGAAAGCATCAATAAAATCTCTCCTGCAATTCATGAGATATTTTGTAAAAATTAAGTACAAACAAACAGGCAAAGCATGATCACGATT